TTAACGACTAGCCTTAATCGAAAGTTCTCTCCTATTATTGGGAGGGGTAATTAACTATAGGGGCTTGCGCCTATAGGAAACCAGAACTCAGATAAAAAGTCCTCACAAAATGAGGGCGAAATCTCTGGGTAGTGTCTTATCTAAAACCCAATCTGCCTTCTGAAAATTCCCCCGGAACCTAATATCGTTAAAACTCTCTGTCGCCATCGTCACACAAACACTTAAAATAAAAATAGACGAATGGCATAAAGAGACCGGGATCACACAAACATCAAAAATGGAATTTTTCGGAGCCCATAAAGAAGCTAAGATACACAATACTAACACAGAATTTTTCGGAGCCCATAAAGAAGCTAAGATACACAATACTAACACATGGAATATACTTGTTATAGAGAGTTTGTTTGATTGATTTCATCTTTTTCTTCTGTGATTGCATTTTTTCTTCTGTGATTGCATCGTTGGATCCCTTAGACACGAGAACTAACTCACGTAACTCTGCAAATATTTAAGCTAAGAAAACTAATGTTGAATCGAACCCGGAAAACTGATACTGTAAACTGAAGGGCTTCTTCTTCAATTATATTCTTTTAGTTGAAAAACTGAGTTCTTTATTTTAAATGTTCAGGTTTAAGAGAATATTTTGCTGCAAATCCTTCACTAGCTCTTGACTCTCCCTCAACAGTTGAGCATTCAAATATTTTTTATGCTGCTCCCACTGCTTCTTTAGAACCCGAGAATTCAGAACTTAATGATGAGTTTCATGATGCAATTGCTTTTGATGGCTCCTTAGGAGATGAGGACAGTGACAGTGATGATGAAGAGCCCCCGAAGGTAGAACTGATTGTAAATATTAGCATGTCCAACTGCATTGTCTCTAACAGGATCATTTGCTATATTCTATAACAAAATTTACTAGACAACTTCAATAATGGGCATATTCTTTTCATTTCAGGCTGGGAAAGTGAAATTGAAGAACGTTTCATGGGCCATTGCGAGTTTGGCTTTAAAGAAAAGTGCAGGTTGCCTCTTTAACATAAAACTATCTCTGTCAAAGTTAAAATTACAAGATTCAGTATGTGATTTAATATTCTTGTATGTAGCAGCACCATATAATGATTCCATTGTTGTAATCGTGGTAACAATGGAATGTATTCTTATTTTACTGACCTTATAGGCAACTGTTCAATACTAAGGGGCTGTTTGGTAGAATGTAGGATTTCATTTAAGTAGGATTTCGTAAATGATTTACGAAATCCTGAGGGGTTAAATCCTGAAAACTGTTTGGTAACATTTATGATAAATCCAATTAAATCATGTGTGACTGTTTGGCTATAAAGCAGGATTTATCCAAGGGACTCTTACTCTAGCGCCTGGATTTCGTAAATCCCGCAAAATACAGGATTTCCGAAATCCCGGATTTCGCTCGAATCAGCGTAATTTTCCGTCTATCCCGGATTTCACTTGCTGTGAGATTTGGTTTTGCATTTTAGGCCGTTTGGCTGGATTTCGCTCAAATCCGGCCTAAATCCTGCTACCAAACAGCCCCTAAGAATTTCTATTTTCTGATAAATGTGGTGCATTGCTGGATGAGATGTTGCAGAATGGATTTCGCTGAATCAGTCAACCAAGAACACATGGTTGTTTATTAAAGTGGTCTTTACTCCTTTTATGCATGTAGAATATAAAAATATGCAGCAACAAGCCAACAACAACAAGAATATCAAGCCTTTATCCCACTACATGGGGTCGGCTATATGAATCATTTTTCTCTATTGTATCCTATTAAGAGCAAATTCTCATTTAAATCCAATAAAAAAATGTTATTTCTAATACTTTCTAAGTTTTGTTAGGTCTACCTCTACCTTCCTTAACATATGCCGCATTTCATATATCTAGTCTCCTAACCAGGTCATCGTAATGCCAACATTTTATGCGACCAAACCATCTAAGGCGACTCTCTCCAACCTTTTAATGTATATACCCGTTTCACATTCTATCTTTTAAGTGTTAAACCACTCATCCACCTGAGCATCCTCATCTTTGCAATACATAACTTAATTTTATGCTTATCTTTTATTGACCAACATTCTGAGCTATAAAGCATTGTAGGGGTCACCACCATCTTATCTTTTAACGACCAATATTATGAACTATAAGTTTGAGGGGTACTTTTCTATCACATAACAGGCTTGATGCATTTATCTACTTCAACCATCCAACTTGGATTCTACTAATAATATCTCCATCTATTTTACTATTGTTTTGAGCAATAGACTTGAGATATCTAAAATGTGTACTCTTTTTAATGACTTGTTCACCCAATGTCACAATATCACCACTAGATCTCTCACTACTAAAATTAGACTCCATGTATTTGGTTTTAGATCTACTCGAATGAAAATATTCAGGCTCTTAGGTTGACCTCCATAATTCAAGTGTTCTTTCAACTCCTGTAGTCTTATCAACTAGAATATCATTAGCAAAAAACATACACCAGGGTACATCCTCTAGCAAATGTCTAGTAAGAATATTCATGACTAAAGCAAAAAGATATGGCTTTAAAGTTGGTCCTTGATGTAATCCAATTGAAATAGGAAAATACTTGGTCAAAGTGTCAATCTATCTTGTGTTTAAATACAAGTAATAACTTATGTATACATATCCTTAATGACTTGAATATAAATATTATTAATGATGTAAAAAGACTCGGCCTTGGTCACATAGTCAACTGATGTAAAAAGACGAGTTGCTTTGTGAAAGATGTGTGTGTGTATTTGTGAGTAGTGCGGGAGAATCAAGAGGAGCTTTCTTGTATCTTGACATGGTTCAGAGTGCAGTAAAGAAGAATGAAGAGGGTAAGAAATCACTACACCTTTTTTGGGCTTCTATTTGACTTCAGATTGTATAAAGTTCCCTGTTTGAGAAAGAAATTAAAATTTACGACGGGAATGCATGGAGTTAAGTCAACCCCAAACAATTGGGATTATAATAATGAAGATCATAATTTGAAAAGTTATTAACTTGAATTTATGCTTGTGCACTTGATTCGCCTGATGATTTGCTTGGGTTAATAATGTCCAATAAAAGCCTGGTCATCAGTCTGTTAGTAAGTTTGATGTGATACTATGTGTGAATACAAGAATTGTAATTTAAGAGATTGATAAAAGTTATTAACTTCGCATACTAGCAATAAAGTCTAGCTTACTCAAGTAGAGTTAAAGAAGATGTAATGAAAGGTTAAGCCATACTAATTGATTACACTTGGAGATTACAAGAACTTGCAAAAGAATAACCGAAGATTTAAATAATGCAAATAGCCACTTATAACAAAGCCTTATGTTTAAATATAGATCCTTCACCTCGAGATCCTTTAATCATTCTTGACGGTGGAGGTTAGCGGAAGAGGATCGTAAGCACAGTAGAGATACCACTATTACACAAGTGATGCCAAGAGGACTCGTCGCCGGGGAAGAAGCGGGAGTTGGAGAAGCGGGTGGATGGCCGTTGATGGTCCACTCGTAGTCCAAGAATTGATCGTCGAGGATTTCCACGAGATTGGGGAGGATTCGGTTCAAGTAATCTTCAACGGTGTCATCAAAACCAAACCCGATGTCGAAGAATGGTGATCGAATGATGTGGATGTCTCTGTGGGCATCGAGTACGAATCCGTGATCAACTTTGGGATCCGCCATGCATCCTCACCAAGGGTTGAAAGAACACCCAAAAGGAAGAAGAGGGAGGAAGGAGGTGGCGGCTTGGAGGAGGAAAAGGGTTGGCCGGTTTGAGGTCTAGAAGGGGAGTCGGCTAGTGTGGGAAGCCAAGAGGTAAGGGCAGGAAATCTGAAAGTATTCAGATTTTGGGAAGCTAGGTGAAGGATTTAATTTGAAAATTCAAATCAATACAAAGAGGGAGAGAGGGGCGGCAATGGGGAGAGATTTGGGGCTGATTTAGTGGGGATTAGGCATTAATTTTGGAGAGAGAAGGGGCCCATAGAGGGGCTGGCCAAAATAGAGAAGAGGGGAGGGGATTCGGTTTTGAGGAGGTGGGGCCCACTTGATTAATTAATAGATTTGAATAAAATCTGAAGTAATTTCAGATTTTAAACAAAAGGAAAGTTTCCTAATTTATGATTAAGCAATTAGGTAACTATTTGAATTTCAAATTGGAATTGAAATCCAATTAAGATGATTGCCTAAATTTAGGATTTATTTTTGGAAAGTAAGTAATGCCTCTTGGGGAATTTGAATTTCAAATTAAAAAATCCAAGAGAGAGGGCCGGCGGGTAGAGAGGTGGAGAGGGAAAATTTGGGAAGAGGCCGGCGGCCGGGAAGGGGTTAGGGTGGTGGAGGCCGGCGGCTTGGGAGGTCCAAGGAGGCCGGCGGCAAGATGATTTGAGGGAGGGGGGGGGGGGGGGGGGGGGGGGGGGGAGCTATGGCCGGAAAATCAAGGGGAAGATTTGGAAAATCTAGATGAAACCTCAAATTGCCTCAAACCTCTTCCATCCCCTCTACTAGAACTCACAAAGAGATCTACAAGCTCCACCTCTTCAAGAACTCACAAAGAGATCTGGAAAGGTGACACGAACTCACAAAGAGATCAAAAGAGAAAAATTTCATTCATTCCAAAAACTAAAAACTTGCATTGCATGAGGCCTCATATAAGTAGGCCAAAATAAAATAAAAAAACGAAAATGACACAAATGCCCTCAGGGCTACATAAGTGACTCAATGCCCACAGGGGCAAACTAGGAAACAAAAAATACAAGCATAAATAAAATGCCAATAAATCAGAAATAGAGGCTCTGGATCGTAGCCGTCGATCTGCGTCTCCGGCGATAGTACACATGTCGAAATCTGATGTCCTCATCAAAGTTAGACTGAACTTTTAGATGGGTTGGTTTTGAGTACGGGTTGGTTTTAAGTGTGAGCGATAACCAGTAGCAGCCCAATCATATCAAAAGGGAAAGGGGGTAGAGGTGAAGAAATTGAGAATATCATTTTTTTCTTATTAGTCTTTGCTCTTTTAATTCTGCATTTTGTGGGCCCAACTTAATTTAAACCGGTCAACTTGGTTCAATTTGAGTTTGGGTTATATTAATAGTGCCCATACCAAGTTGAACATCTGTAGTTAGTTAAGATCATGATTTTTTTAGTTGGATTGGTTTTGGGTTTGCTTTGGTATAAGTAACATACCTTTACCAGATTCTCTTTGGTATGAGTAGCATGACATTTTTGACTCTGGTATGGTCCAATGAAAAACCCAATAGTTTGCTTGGTAGGCTTATGATGGACCGGGTCACCCGGTCCATCCTAGACCCGTGCGGGTCTATGGGAGGCGGGCGGACCGGCTGGACAAAAAGGGGCCCACCCACTTAAGTGGGGGTAATTTGGGGATGTGAGGGACTTTTGGATTGTATGAAGGGGGCCATTAGGGTTTAGTTGGAGGCATTATGAAAAGTGTATTCTCTTTCTAGTTTTCTTCTTCTAGTTTCCTTCTTGTTCTTTTCTAGGGTTTTCTTGTGGGAGATCTTGTCCTTCTCAAAGTGGACAAACTTATCTTGTTTTCTCTTGGCTTTCAATGCAAAGGTTCTTGCTTTTCATCTCAACCCTCTTGTGATTGTTTCTCTATGCTTTTCGTGGAGAAATTCCTCATTTTTGGGGGAAATTAGGGAAAAACCGAAATTGTGGAACCCTAGGGCGTATCAGCTTACTGGAATCTAGTCTGTGAATTTGCGATGGCTTCAAATCATCAATTTTGCAAATGGATGTTATAAATAGGACTGAAAAATGTTTTACTAGCGTATAGACTGCTAGTCTTTCTTTAAAACTCTGATTTTTGCGCTTACTAAAACCACCAGAACAGTCATTGCCTCGTTTATATTTATTGTCATCATTATCAGCAATCTTACCCAGATATTTAGCATTGTGTCATAAGTCCCCTCAAATGACACTTCTCTTCAGGGCCTCATCATGATGGAGTGTAATTTTCTAAAAGCAACTAATTAATTCCTTATTCAAATGATGCTGTTTTTGTGAATGCAGCAACAGGAGAGAATAATGAACTGGATACTACCTATCCTCCTGCTACTATAAATCCAAGTCAATTCCATGGTTCACTACATCAAGGGAAAGGGGAATCTGATACCAACTGTTGGACTAAGCCTAGTGAGCCAGGGTTTATGATAAGGGGAAGGACTTACTTAAAGGATTGCTCTAAGGTTACTATTAATTTGCTGTCACTCATGTTCTTTTAGCTTTCAACTATTTGATTTAGCTAGAGAAACGAGGTGATGATTTTATCTTTGTTCTCTTTTGAATTCTATGACATGTTATATAGAAGTTTGAATTTCCAACTTCAGTTTGCCATATGTGGTTGATGCTTTTGTGTTCTAAAAGTAAATTATGCTAATAGAAAAATGAAAACAGCTTTAAACCACACATTTTTTATCGAAATTAAACTAATGGTTGAGATACATTGCAAAACAACAAATAACCAAATTCATGACTTGATTGCATTTGATAAATTGCAAAGCAACAAATAATTTTTTCTTCAAGATATTACGTATGGCAACTCATATTGACTGGAGTGTAAAATCTACTTTCAAAACTGTTTTATTTTTCCAGATTTTAGCCACGATCAAGCAAAATTGAAAATACGATCTTGAATCAGGCTAACTCACTTGAACCTGATTCTTGACTGCCCTTGCATTGATCAGACTTGCTTTTTAACTTGATTATATCCAAGTTGTCACCAAGAATTAATGCTAACCTGGCAACAAAGCTCTTGCTGGATCAGCTGCAACATAAAACTACCATATGCTGTGTGCTGGTTTTAACCCTGATTGCCTTGGAAAACATACAATTTATTTGCACTTATTTTTCTATTCGCTTTATTTATTTATTTTTTCTCCTTGACAGTGTTTATTAAGTATTTGTGTTATTTAAGCTTCACCTAAGGACTACTAATAATTATTCTGTCATAAAATAGGTTCCGGGCGGAGATCCTCTTTTAAAGCTTTTGGCAGTTGATTGGCTTAGCGCAGAAACTTGCATGGACAAAATTGCTCATCATCCAAACCGCCTTGTTCAGGTATATACAATATCATGAATATTAACAACTTTTCTATAGGCTTTTTGCTAATTCATGGAATTCTGCGTTGAGAAAATTTTTCTCAGTCAGAAAACAATAGGGCGATTAGGATTTCTTGGAATTTTTCCAGGAATGATGATGCATTCATGTTTTTAATTTATCTTGTTTTGATGTAATATGAACAATATATAGTTTTGTTTTATGTTTTTTTTAAGCTATCCAATGATGGAAGGCATCCAATGATCATGGTAGGAGGTTTTAGGTATGGCGAGTCTTGGGTTTGCCGGCAATTGAGTCCTTCCCGTCCTTTGGGCTGCTTGCTGCATTTGGTTTGGGGCCTTGGCTGTCTCGGGTTGGGCTATGGCTGCTTGGGTTGAGCTTAAATGAAGTTGGGTTCTACTTGGTGTAGCTCATTAATACTTGAGCTGAAGTTTAGCTCAATAATTGGTGGAATAAATTCACTTCCTAGCTCATAAAATCAAAAAGGTATTCTCATTATTGTGGAGTGGACTTGTGTCTCTTCCCTTCCCCTTTGTCTTCTTGGTTTTTCCCTGGCTGTTGCTGTTCCTGTGACTTCTCCCTCTCGGTTTTCCCCTGGCTATTTTCCCGTGAGTCTCTGCCCGTTTCCTGTGCTGGCTCCTCGGGTCCCTTGCTGGCTGGGCTTCCCGTGGCTTGCTGGCTGGGTTTCCCGTAGCTTTTTCTCCCTGTTTTTCTGTGCAGTTTTTATGGGATGTTGTGGTGTCTTTTGGCCTTTCATTTCCCCAAAATTGATTGATTTTGGTTGGAGGTGTTGTGGCTGTTTAGCTTCTTCCTTTTGGCTATAAAATAGAGATGTTTTGAGTTGGAAATGGTTGTTGAAAATCTGAGCAAAGTCTCTACAAAAACATGAGGGTTTCTTCTCTTGGAAAAGCTTGAGAGCTTATTCCACCCCCTTTCCTCCTCTCTATTTCGTCTTGACTTTTAACCTCTTTTTCTCTACGCAAGTTCCACTCCACCTGTATCCTTCTTCTTAAGCATTTGGAAGTTGTTTGTTGGCTGTTTTTTGGAGGCATTTGCCGAAGGAGTTTGGTAGGACGCTGGACTCTTTTGCTGTGGTGGATCCTCAGTTTGCAAACCTAAGCACTATCTTTTACATTTCTCTTACATTCGATGCATGCGAGGAAACCGCTAGACGGTTGTTCTGAGGATAGCATTTTTAGGATTTTATTTTGTTTCTTTTGATTAATCTTCTGTTTGACCGGGTGTTTGTTTGGTTGATTACACTCTATATTGAATCGAGTTTTTTTTTTTTCTTTGTGTTCTCCAAGTTGGCTCATCAGTCTAGTCTATATTACATCAATCTTGGTATCAGGAAAGTTAGCATGTCCTTGGTTTGCGAGTCTTCTTTTGAAACACTAAGATGGCTAATAATTCGGAGGATTAACAAAATATGATGCAACAATTAACAGACTTGCAAAATCAGATGAATGAAATGGCTCAAACACTTGCTAATTTGAATGTTAATCAACATAATATCCAAACGTCTGAAAGTGAAGAAGAAGTCCCTAGGAATCATAATAGGCGATAACGGAATTGGGATTTTGGGATAAAAATAGATGTTTATAATTTTGAGGGGAAATTACAACCTGATCTATTTCTCGAATGGATCGAAAAAATGGATCAATTTTTTTATTAGAAAGAGATTCCGGAAAATAAGAAAGTAAAATTTGCAAGTTTAAAACTCACAGGTCATGCTCTTACATGGTGGAGGAACTTACAAAACAATAGGCAAAGACATGGAAAAGAAAAAATACAAAACTGGGAACGAATGAAAGAAAAAATGAGGGGAAAATTTTTACCATCTGATTACGCACGAACTCTCTTTCAGGAATTTAATAGCTTGCGACAAGGAACTCAAAATGTTGAAGAATTCACTAAAATGTTTTATAAACTTCATTCAAGAAATGATTTAGATGAGTTTGAAAAAAAAATTGTTTCAAGATATGTCAACGGTCTTAAGTGGTCAATCCAAGATCAACTTAACTTACATCATGTAATTAAAATTGATGAGGCATATCAAATGCATTAAAACTTGAAAAACAATAGCAAAGAGAAAGGGGTCATAACAAGATAACAAAAACATACAAGCGAAGATCAACTGGTGGGGCTAAGAATTAATCTCAAACTTCTGTGGGAACATCGGAGGTGAAAGTAAAGTCTTTTGAAAATCAAAATGTGGATAAAGGAAAGGGAATTATGGGTCCTAAACCTTCTGAACAACCTAAATTAATCGGACCATGCTACAAATGTGGGCTTTATGGCCATCTCTCTGTGGCCTGTAGAAAAAATAATTAACCTAGAAATAACTACATTGAAAACGACGAAGATGTAGAGGAAGAAGAAGAAACCAATTCTGAAACTGAAAATGGCATTGAATTAGAAAAAATAGATATTGATGGAGATGAAGGAGAAGAACTTTTGATAATCCGACAAATCTTAACAAATAAAATTGACAACGAGGACAAGTGGCTTAGAAGAAACATTTTCAAAACAACTTATACTGTTGAAGGAAAAATCTGCACTGTTATGATAGATAATGGAAATTCAAAAAATTGTGTGTCGCAACTGATGGTTGATAAGCTAAAATTAAAATCCAAACCACTTGCTAAGCCTTATAAAATCTCTTAGTTTAAGGAGGGAGGTGAGGTTCCAATCACAAGACAATGTGTCGTCAACTTAACAATTTGAGGTTCTTTTAAGGATCAAGTTATTTGCAATGTTGTGCCTCTTGAAGTCTGTCACATTTTGTTGGGTCGACCTTGGCAATTTGATAACAAAATTATTCATAATGGAGAGAAGAACACTTATACCTTAATCCAAAACAACAAGGAGTTCACTCTTTACCCACAAAAACACGTGTCTGATTCACATGCTAGAAACAACAAGGTTGCCAAAATAAAACTCCTAAATTGCTTTTGAATGCAAATAATTTGAAACATTCTGAGGTAGCTTATTTGATTGTGGGAAAGCAAGCTGGCCCTATTCTTCAAATTCCAAATGAAATTCAGCCTTTGATTAATGAATTTTCTGATATAACACCTGAAGAATTGCCTGCAGAGTTGCCACCGATGAGAGATATTCAGCTTCATATTGATTTAATTCCTGGAGCAACTTTGTCTAATTTGCCTCATTACAGGATGAGTCCGACTGAGCATGCTGAAATTTTTAAGCAAGTAATTAAATTGTTAAAGAAGGATTTGATTAAAGAAAGCTTAAGTCGTTGTGCTGTGTCTACTTTATTAACTCCTAAGAAAGATGGAACGTAGAGAATGTGTGTGTATAGTAGGGCTATAAATAAAATCACCATTAAATATCGATTTCATATTTCAAGACTGGATGACATGCTGGATATGTTAAGTGGCGCAAAAATATTTTTCAAAATTAATTTGAGAAGCGGGTATCATTAGATTAGAATAAAACTTGGGGATGAATGGAAAACTGCTTTTAAAACTAAAGAGGATTTGTATGAATGGCTTGTGATGCCTTTTAGGATTTCGAATGCTCCGAGCACTTTTATGCGAACTATGAACCATATTTTGAGACCTTTTATTGGCAAGTTTGTCGTTGTATATTTTGATGATATTTTGATTTATAGTGTTCACTCTTCTGAGCATCTTACTCATGTGAGACAAGTGTTACAAACTCTAAGGGAACAACAGCTGTTCATCAATTTAAAAAAATGTTCCTTTATGACTTCGAGCTTAACATTTTTGAATTTTATTGTTTATGTTGGAGGGATAAAAGTTGATCCAATAAAAGTTGAAGCGATTCAAAATTGGCCCACTCCTAAAAACATAAGTGAAATGAGAGGATTTCATGGTTTGACTTCTTTTTTTCGAAGATTTATTAAGAACTTTAGTTCTCTGATTTCTCTTATTACTGATTGTTTGAAGAAAGGGGTGTTTAGGTGGACACCTTAGGCTGAACAAACTTTTGAAATTATAAAGACAAAAATGAGTCAAGCTCCCATTTTTAGTTTGCCAAATTTTGAAAGCATTTTTGAAGTTGATTGTGATGCTTCTCTTGTCGGTATTGGTGTCGTGCTTAGTCAAGAAGGAAAACTGTTGTTTATTTTAGTGAAAAACTGAATGATGCTCGATTCAAATATTCTATATATGACTTGGAATTTTATGCTATTGTTCAGGCTTTGAAATTTTGGAGATGTTATTTGATTCAATGAGAATTTGTTTTACATACTGATCATGAAGCTTTATGATTTTTGGGTTCTCAAAAAAGTTTGAATAAAAGGCATGCTAAATGGGTTTCTTTTTTGCAAGAGTATACTTTTCACATAAAGCATAAGTCTGGTGTGTTAATCAAGGTAGCTGATGCTTTAAGCCGGAGATCTCATTTATTGGTAACTGTTTACTCAACTGTCACTTCTTTTGATTTTTTGAAAGATACTTATGCGAATGATTCTGATTTTAAGAGTATTTGGGATTCTTGTCTTGCTTCTGGAATTGACCCTTCTGCTCAGTAAGGGTTTTTATTTATGGGGTCTAGACTTTGCATAACAAAAAAATCTTTAAGAGAGCAACTTGTGTATGAACTTCATAGTGGGGGATTGAGCGGACATTTTGGGCAAGGGAAAACTATTGCTTTAGTTGAGGAAAAATATTTATGGCCTCATATGAGGAAACAAATTGCTAAGCTAGTAAAACAATGCAAAATTTGTGAGGCTTTTAAGGGAACTTCTCAAAATACTGGTTTGTATACTCCTCTGCCTATTCCAAATAAAACTTAGGAGGATATCTCTATGGATTTTGTGTTGGGGTTGCCTGTTACTGCTAGAAAGTTTGATTCTATTTTTGTGGTTGTGGATTGCTTTAATAAAATAACACATTTTATTCCTTGCAAGAAATGTTATGATGCTTCACATATTGCTGATTTGTTCTTTAAAGAAATTGTTCGTCTTCATGGTATTCCTCGCACTTTTATTTCTGATAGAGATACTAGATTTTGAGTCATTTTTGAAGAACACTGTGGGCAAATTAGGATATACTCTTCAATTTAGTAGTGCATATCATCCACAAACTGATGAACAAACAGAGATAGTTAATCGAAGTTTGGGAAATTTGTTAAGATGCCTAGCCGGTGAGAAACCATCCCAATGGGATTTGATTTTGCCACAAGCTGAATTTGCATACAATAACTTTGTTAATCGCTCCACTGGTAAAACTCCATTTGAAATCATTTATGGTCAGTCGATACCTCACATTTTAGATAGGAATTATTTGCCTTTACCAAATAAAACAAGTGCTGAAGCTTCTGAAATCTTTGACCATATCAAAACTGTCTAACAGCAAGTCTTTGAAAAAATCCGAATGACTAATGCTAAGTACAAAACTGCTGTTAACAAACATCGAAGAGAAGTTTATTTCAAAGAGGGAGATTTGGTTATGGCTTATTTTCGTCGCCAATGATTTCCTATTGGTACTTTTGGAAAACTAAGCAGGAAGAAATTTGGGCCTTTTCGAAATCTAAAAAAATTGGACTCAAATGCTTATCTCTTGGATCTACCTATTACTGTTGGCACTTCTCCTGTTTTTAATGTTTCTGATCTATATTTGTATGAAGGAAACTCTGAAGATCATGTGGAAATTGAAACTTTGCCACTTTCCACATCAGCTTTAAATAATGAGGAACAGGTTGAAGATATTATTGATATCAAGTTTATTAAAACTAGGAATGGCGAGCACGTGAGATATTTGAAAAAATGGAAGAATCATCCTTTGACAAATTGTACTTGGTTGGATGCCAATGAGCTGAAGAAACGTCATCCGGAGCTTTATGAAAAGATTGTGGAAGCTTTCTCATTAGGAGATGAGATTCTCCCACCAGGGGGGAATTGATGCATTCATGTTTTTATATCTTGTTTTGATGTAATATGAACAATATATAGTTGTGTTTTATGTTTTTTTTTAAGCTATCAAATGATGGAAGGCATCCAATGATCATGGTAGGAGGTTTTAGGTATGGCGAGTCTTGGGTTTGCCGGCAATTGAGTCCTTCCCATCCTTTGGGCTGCTTGCTGCATTTGGTTTGGGGCTTTGGCTGCCTCATGTTGGGCTATGTCTGCTTAGGTTGAGCTTAAATGAAGTTGGGCTCTACTTGGTGTTGCTCATTAATTTTGAGCTGAAGTTTAGCTTAATAATTGGTGGAATAAATTCACTTCCTAGCTCATAAAATCAAAACGTTATTCTCATTATTGTGGAGTGGACTTGTGTCTCTTCCCTTCCCCTTTGCCTTCTCAGTTTTTCCTTGGCTGTTGCTGTTTCCGTGACTTCTCCCTCTCGATTTTCCCCTGGCTGTTTTCTTGTGAGTCTCTACCCCGTTTCCTGTGCTGGCTCCTCAGGTCCCTTGCTGGCTGGGCTTCCTGTGGCTTGCTGGCTGGGTTTCCCGTAGCTTTTTCTCCCTGTTTTTCTTTGCAGATTTTGTGGGATGTTGTGGTGTCTTTTGGCCTTTCATTTCCCCAAAACTGATTGGTTTTGGTTGGAGGTGTTGTGGATATTTAGCTTCTTCCTTTTGCCTATAAAATAGAGATGTTTTGAGTTGGAAATGGTTGTTGAAAATCTGAGCAAAGTCTCTACAAAAACCTGAGTTTCTTATCTTGGAAAAGCTTGAGAGCTTGTTCCATCCCCTTTCCTCCTCTCTATTTCGTCTTAGCTTCTAACCTCTTCTTCTCTACGTAAGTTCCACTCCACCTGTATCCTTCTTCTTGAGCATTTGGAAGTTGTTTGTTGGCTGATTTTTGGAGGCATTTGCCGGAGGAGTTTGGTAGGACGCTAGACTCTTTTGCTGTGGTGGACCCTCGGTTTGCAAACCTAAGCACTATCTTTTATATTTCTCCTACATTCGATGCATGTGAGGAAACCGCTATACGGTTGTTCTGAGGATAGCGTTTTTAAGCTTTTATTTTATTTCTTTTGATTTATCTTCTGTTTGGCCGGGTGTTTGTTTGGTTGATTACAATCTATATTGAATCGAGTTTGGTTTTTTTTATTTTTTATTTTATTTTGTCTTTGTTTTCTCCAAGTTGGCTCATCAGTCTAGTCTATATTACATCAAATGAGAAATATATACTAGAATCAATCTAATATGATTCTCGTAATCTATTCAATTGACGAGAAATGTGTTTTGCAAACAAGGCTTGTAACTCCAAAATCAGTACTCATTCATCTGATAGGTAGAAAGCAATTCTAATAAATCTAAATCATTTATACAATCTATTGATCCTACAATGAAAAGACATTAAAATAGTTACTTTCTGAGCCAACTAACCTTAAAGGCCTAACTTGTGGATTGCTATGGTACCCTTGAATAGAATGTCAATATTATCGGATCTGTGAAGTTTTCCATGTTGCTACAGCACCAAATAAAGTTTTCATATCTCTGTCCTCTTTATTTAGCTTATTTTGGAACTATCATCACTCTAAGCTACTTCTGTTTTTTCTGAACAGTCAGAAAGTGGAAAAAAGCTCCCATTCATTCTCGTAATAAACTTGGAGGTACATACAATTCGAAATAGTTGTTTTATTTTGATTTCTGTATTTGCTTTCTATTATCGTTTTGCTTAGCGGTTGCATCAAATAAAAATAGTTGTTTAATTCTTTTGCCAAGTCGGAGAATTGGCTTGCAAATAACCTGTCACGCCTTAATTGAAAAGCAAAACCAATTAAAGATTCTCTCTTCTTGAAAAGATCCATCGCCGCTTTTCCTTCTCAATCTATCTCAAATAAGTTGCTTTTTTGTTTACTGGTTACCTTCTTGGGCTCCCATTCTGTTAGATTTCTGCCATTACTAATATGAAAATATTCTTACTTTGTTTAGCCAACGTGGTCCCATTCTTTGTGCTGAGTATGCTCAAGCAGTTTGACATATTCTATTAGTTATGCAGTTATTTGAATCCCGATTTAGTGTTTTTTATCAAAATGGAATATTGTGAATCTGATGCACTCTCCAACAAAACAATTGCAGCTGAACATAATTCCTTACTTTTTGAAGTCCTCTTCCACCAGTTATACAATAGCTGTAGAGGAGGTTTATGCTTAACACTGATGACTTCAATCACAATCATGTCTTGCTAAGATAGTTTAACATAACTTGACTGCAAATCCTCAGCTCTGCATTACTTTTGAGCTGATTTTTCATCTTTTGTAACAATGAGTGTGCTAAAATCCTCATTAAACAAATTTAGACCCATTTCGGAAATTATCATATATGGTCATGTTGTTAAATCCCAGCTATCCCTTGGCCATTGATCCCATGGCTAGCATGGGAATCCGAGGGAGACTCACCTGTTAAATCCTAGTTGTTCCTTACCTCTTGATCTTATGACCAGCATGGGGATCCGTGGGAGGCTCACCTGGACCACGCCGATCTCCTTTCATATTTAAGTGGCTGATTAGGAAGGATTATATTAGGGCAATTATGCAAAATTCTGTAATTATTTGTTTCTTTATTAAGATATCTTGTATAGATATATAAATAGGAATAGTTTTGTGTAATAAGATAAGAAGTTTTTTCCCTCTCCAATTCTCTGAATTTAACATGGTATCAGAGCCAAATTTTCCCACCACCACCTTCATTGCCAGAATTATGAGGAATATAGGTTCTCACCATTGGCTTTTATTGTCGGAATTATGATGAATATTGGTTCCTACCATTTGTTGTCGAAATTATGAGGAATATAGGTTCCCACCATCGGCCTTCATTGCTGGAATTATGAAGAATACTGGTTTCCACCACTGGCCTTCATTACCGAAATTCTAGGAATACTGGTCCTTCCACTAGTCTTCGTTGCCGGAATTTTAAGGAATATTGGTCCTTCTATTTCCTTTATGAGTCCTAGACCGAGGAGAGATCGAGCGGGAGGGCTCCTCTCATGTGCAACGTCGACTGAGCAGAAGCGAGAGAAGTTGAGCGCAAGATCTCCTCTTGCATGCGTATCGAAAGAGCTAAGGGTCGGGACAAGCAAGAGTACAAGACCTACACTCCCTCTTACGATTAGACCCGAGAGATCAAAGGCCTTGTGTGCACTTGTATTGGCTGATCAAATAGGAGTCTGTTTAAGTAGAGTCGGATGACTTGGGAAGGAGGAGATCTACGTGCTGAGTTGCTTGAGATGTGTTTTTTTGCTCCTATCCTTGATGCTTGTTGCAACCCTAACAACAAAAAATTTTCCCTTTTTTTACTGTCTTGCCTTCATTGTCAGCCTTCCCTTGAGAACCGAGAGGGAGATGGATCCGACGGATAATTAATCCACTTTCCTTGTTGTCCCACCATCGGCCTTTATTGTCACTTTTAGTATCTCGAGGGCTACTATTTAATGCAATCTTCATTGTTGCCCTGCACCTTACATGCTAGCATTCATCACTATCCTTTGCTACAACAATGTTTGAAGCTAATTCCTCCCAAAGCTTTGACCAAATGAAGGACTTTATGGTGAACACGGAATTTGATTACTCTACCTTTATGGGACTATTTGATAACTCAATCTATATTCCCTAGCTTGAGGGAGAGTATTAAATCCCAACTGTCCCTTGGCCCTTGATCCCACAACCAGCATGAGAATCCGTGGGAGGCTCACCTGTTAAATCCCGACCGTTCCTTACCTCTTGATCTTATGGTTAGCATGGGGATCCGTAGTAGGCTCTACTAGACCACATCGATCTCCTTTCATATTCGAGTGGCTGATTTAGCAAGGATTATATCACGACAACTATGCATGATTTCATAATTATTTGTTTTTTTATTAAGATATATTGTATAGATCTATAAATAGGGATAGTTTTGTGTGATAAAATAAGAAGTATTTTCTCTCTCAAATTCTCTGAATTAACACATGTATCATTGAGTTTTAGGCATGTAATTAAGGATTTTATTGTTTAGTGGTGTAACGGCAACTGACCGTCACTAGAAACTTTAAATAACGTTAATTATAAGAATATTTTATCCATTTCTCTGGATAGATCAACTGATCATGTTGGTGCCATTTGTTCTGGCCATACTGGTCGGGACTATTATAATATCCCTGATGGTTTACAACATAGTTTTAGGTCTACGCTTCTATAATGATTATCCAAGAATCCAGAAGGAACTATGAATCACTTTCTTTTTTATTTCATGTAATTCTTTGTATTCTTCTTCATAATTTCCAACTATTTTTAACTGTTCTAATGGATTTTTTTTCTCTTGTCTCTAATTGTAATGTTGCTTCTTTGAATGCAGATCCCTGCAAAGCCATATTACAGTTTGGTTCTGTATTATGGTGCTGACAGGCCCATAAATAAACAGTCCCTGTTGGGAAGATTTATTGAAGGGAGTGACGTGTTTCGAGATTCAAGATTTAAACTTATACCAAGCATTGTGGAGGTAGGCATCATTTATGAGTGAGTTTTTTATTTTTATTTTTGGTACCTTAATTGTCCACGAGGAGCCTGCACTTATATAATATTTGATGAACTACTAGGGGTATTGGATGGTTAAACGTGCAGTCGGCACTAAGGCCTGCCTCCTAGGGAAGGCAGTCACTTGCAGATACCTTCGCGAGGATAACTTTCTAGAGGTAAGCTCTCAAATTCTGTTGCCTTTATGGTTTTTTAATTGCTTTGTATGATGCAATTTCTTATCGGCTTCAGAAATTTTCTTCTTGTCTTAAGTAGGCGGCTTTTATGCCACAGATAAATGAGTAATTAAAGCTTACTCTCTGAATGTTTAATATTTAGGCTTCGTTTGGGATGGCTTTTTTCCTGCTTCTTAAAGAGGCTTTCTAGTACAAAATTTTTTAATTTTTGTACTAAAAAGCCGCTTTAAGAAGCAAGAAGAAAGCTGTCCCAAAGGAAAAGGTGAAAGCATCTGCGTGCTCTTAGATTTTTAATAAAATATATAATTTATATTTTGCTAAGAGTTGGCCAGTTCGCCTTGTGGTCCACTTTCCATGGACACTAATCAGTTTAGATCTTGCAGATAGATGTTGATATTGGTTCTTCATCAGTTGCCAGGCATATCATTGGTTTAGTTCTTGGATATACCACTGGCATTGCTGTTGACCTTGCAATTTTGATTGAGGTTTGTTGCTCTGTAACTCACTGTAGAATGCTTCTTTTTTTTTTCTCAGTTTTTTTTTTCTATCTCTGTTGAAATTTGATTAAACAGCTCTGATTTCTGTATTTTCCATTTCAAGTATTTCTTGTGTTATAGTCTGTATTTTTATTGTTTGGATCACATTTAATAGCCAGGTCTTTTCCCAAATCCTTTTGTTGCTGGAAGGTAAGAATTGGCAGTTGAATACGTTATTTGGCACTTAAAAATGTTACGCAAATATTGTGTAAACAATCTGAGCCAAACAGACTACATGGAAACGGACAAAAGTACTTTTGGAAATTGAGAACGGAGGGAACTTGACAATAATTCCGTGAAAGGTGGTTAATAGGACCTTTTTGTCAACGATTACTAGACAACTGTGGATTTGCTTCCAGGTTCTGATCTTATAGCCGCTTCAACAGTCGACCACTAATTAAACAAAATCTTTAAGAATCTAAGTCCACATTTTTTTTATTTTTGCATGTGGACACCCATATAATGCTCAATTGAAATGATTGAAGAATGATGATTCATAAAGTTGTCCTCAAATGCAAGGAAAAAACCCAGCTTTTATGCAAAACATTGTGAGAAGCCAATATGATAAACACAAAGTAATGACAAAGAGAACACTAGAAGAAGACATTAAAATTTATATGATTTAGTTAAGCAGTAGTCTATATCCATAGGAGAGGATGATTTAGACTTCATTTGGGGCTGCTTTTTTATTTTTTCTTAAAATAATTTTTTAGTTTAAAAATTAAAATTTTTAAACTAAAAAACTATTTTAAGAAGCAGTAAGAAAGCCATCCCAAACGAAGTCTTAATTTACTATAGTGAGCTCACAAAAGTAGACCACATAAATAGGGTATAAGAAATTACTTTTAATCAAACTCAAGTACGCCAATCTCACCAAAAAAATAAAAGCCATAAACCTCTCAGAACTGAAAGAGAACAACATAAGATAATCAACGAGAAAAATTTAAATGAATACTAGAAATTATCTAGTTAAAAGTTCTTCAAACTGGTACCTTTTGTTTATAGAATTGTCACAAAAATTTCTTGTATTAGTACTTCAAAAAAAAAAAAATATCGTCTTCATTTTCTCTTCTCTTTCGCTCTCTTTTTTTATTTCAATGGCAAACACTTCATTTTCAAATCCCAGAAAGCATACACTCAATTAAAGCGTTGCAGTCAACCTCCTTTCACAAAATTCACCTAATAGAAGTCACATAACTAATGTGCATTCATGCACGCAGCTCCCTCAATCTCATTTCATATATATATATATATATAATCACGATCCAGTCTGATTCTTTAGAATACTAAGTTGGAACCAACAGTCGGACATGAATTAAATTTCTTTCAAACATAGATAAAACATCTAATAAAATATCATCCAAATTTTACAAAGAGGCACTGATTATTCATGACAATTTTAAACAGATATAATTCAACTATAGCTTAAACTTATTCAATTTTTTCTTATTTTCTTTTGCATTTTATTTCGCAAAAAGATCTTGCTTATATATAAATAATGCTGGAATAATTTGCTATTACCTATCAATTTTCAGGCCAAGGAGGAAAATGAACTTCCTGAATATATATTGGGTACAGTTCGCTTAAACCGACTGAGGCTGGACTCTGCAGTGCCATATCCTTAATTCCCTGCTGCTTTTGAATGAAGAATATTGCCTTCATCAGGTGCTCATTATTTGCCTCATGAACTCTTAATTTATTCCAAAAGATTAAGCAAATAAACCATTCTGGTGATTTAGTGTTGTATATTATTCACCTTTTTGTACCATATGCACCAAACCTTCCTTGGCTTTGGCTAAGGAACTAAGGATTTCCATACCCAATTCTTAACCGATTGTAATCTTAATCCCATTGTATAACTTCTTAATCTCATATACATTGTTTGTTATATCATGCTTTGTCTACACATTAATGAATATATTGTATCTACTATGATTTGATGTTACATATTCTGATCATGAAAACAGCATTGCAATGTTGATAGAGGCTTATGTGAACTAGTCTATTCATGTTTCTTGTTACCAGTGCAATCTTTACTAGTGATTTATTGAGCTCGGAAGACCTGAGTATGGTACTTCTTATTTTTATGAAAATATTTGTGTTGATATCCTCACGATATTAAAGTTAATGTTGTATATTTTAAAAATAATTTGTAATGGAAATTATAAAGTTTTGAGTAGAATATTTTACATAATTTTTCTCTGCAACTAATTGTTTCTGAGGTCAACTCCACCTAACACACTAGAATGAATCAATGATGAAATCAGCATAGTTTTTACACTAGCTGAAGAGTCTTTCAATCCTTGGTGATAAACACATGCATATTAGCCTTTTTCACATGTTGCTTAATGTTAATTTCTGCCATTTCATACGAAGGTGAAATTATTGTATGGTGCAGTGTCCAGGACCACACTGTATTTAATCGCCAGCTAATAATTCCTTTGGAACAAACAACCCTGAAAAGGACAGGCTTGTTGTTTTGAAAACTAATGGATGATTTCAACTAAAGATATAGAATGTGAACAATATGCAAGATTAAATAGAGATGTGACATCATGATACCATCCCTTTGGAAACTTTTTTTTTTATTATTTGTAAGAATTTTGAGGGTTTGAGGTCAATTATATTAAAAGAAATGCTTGTTTATGCATAAAATACCCCGACTTCTATTTGTAGAGGGATGCAGTTTTGCAAAATGTTTGAAAAAAGTAAGAAGATGACACAAAATCAATGTTAAAAAATAAAATTAAATTTGCTTTAAAATTAGCATAATAAATGAATAATCATTCAACTTTTATATTGTATTTAAAAAAATAAATAAAATTTTAAAATTAATACAACAATAACATCAAGAATTTATCCCATTACATTGGGTTGGCTACATGAATCCTTTTTCTCCATTGTGCCATGTTAAGAGTTAAATTTTGTCATTTAAATCTAATAAAGAAAAGTTATTTCTAATATATTTTAACCAAGCCTTTTTAAGTCTACCTCTATCTTTCTCAACATAAGCCAAATCTAATACATCTAATCTCCTAACCGGGTCATTGGAAAGCCACCGTTTTATGTGATCAAATCATTTAAGGTTACTCTCTCTAATCTTATCTTCCACTGGAGTTACTCCAACCTTTTCATGTATATGCTCATTTTGTATCTTATCTCTAAGAGTAAATCCCACTCATCTACCCAAACATCCTCATTTCTGCAACACTTAACTTAATATTATGATTCTCCTTTAATGACCCACATTCTGCATCATAAAACATTGCAGGTCTTACCGCCATCTTATATGATTTTCTCTTAAGTTTGAGGGGGACTTTTCTATCACACAACAAGCTCGATGCATTCTTCCACTTCAATCATCCAATTTGAATTTACTGATAATATCCCCATCTATTTTACCATCACTTTGAAAAATAGACCCAAAATATCTAACTTGTGAATTCTTATTAATGACTTGATCGTCCAAAGTTATAACCCCCCTACTAGATCTATTACTATTAAAATTACACTCCATATATCCGGTTTTAGATTTACTCAAACGGAAACCTTTAGACTCCAAGTTTGACCTTTATAGTTCAAGTTTACTTTCAACTCCCTCTCTAGTCTTATCAACAAAAAGAATATCATCAGCAAAAAGCATAAACTAGAGCAACCTCTTACAAATGTCTAGTGAAAACATCCATGACTAAAGCAAAAACATATGGGCTTAAGGCTAACTTATACATCTATCTCTTTGTTTGACTAATTTATACATATATCTTTCGTCTTCCTTGGTATCTAATCTATTATATAAATCATTAAAAATTAAAATCTTGCATCACATATTGCTTTCGTAGACTCAGCATCTTTATATCTTTCCTAATTTTTAGAATTTTTACATCTAAATCAATTTTTATAAGAAAGATTCTTATTTTTTATCTTTTTCTTGAATATTTTGATTCTATCATCAACTATTTTTACTATTAAGAAAATTTAAAATTAATTTGAAAAAAAAATTTGTGAGGATTTCCTCAATATTTATCTTAGGAGGAGAGTACTATATGTAAGTTTAGATCTTACTCTGTTCACTGTGCATATTTCACAGAAGCCATTCAATAAGAACAAGATCACAACTTGATTGAGTTATCATGATGTACAAAAAATAATCTTTCATCTTAAGTCCACTACAAAAAAAATAAAAAAATACAATCATGTATATCCAACGATAACATCGTCTCACTTAACCACTTGAACACATTATCATACATAATTTTAAGCAAAACAAACCAAGTAGATTGATCAGCAATGGCGTAGGGAACCTTTTCCTTTATAAAATCATACCACAAGCTAACTGGCCATTTACTATTCTTCTTTAACGTTGAACCAACGTTTACCACAACTATAAACATTGCAGAAGGCCTGCAAACAGGTCAGTAATAACAGAGCAATGGCAGCAAGCAACGTAAGAAACTGCCAAGATCCAAACACATATTTGCTTATAAATCTCTTGCTCTTCACTTTCCACCTGCTGTTATAGTAACTATTCACATCTTCTAAAAATTTATCCATGAATTCAACTTTTGAGAGCTTTACAGAACGGCTCATTCCATTCCAAAGATCTGCTACTTCCTTATCACTCTTCATTCGATTCACAATGATCCCTTTCTCCCTTAGTATCTTCACATCCTCCTCAGTGTCTATAACTCCATTCATGAGCTCAGTGTATCTTGTGAAGACCATTGGCCCTGGCTCTGCCGATGCCTCATAAGCCACCAAATTCCTTAGCACTACTTCTGTATTTATGTCTAAGCTCACCTTTGGGAGGTATATGGTGGCAGGTTTTTGCTGCCTATCAAACCTTATTGTTGTCAGATCTCCATTAGAAGGCATGAATCTGACTCCTGCATCTGTTAGCTCTGTCACCGATGGTATGGTTATCTCTTCAACCAATGGCTGCTTTGAAACAGAATTCTTTCCATCGGGGACAACAACATCATCATCATCCTTTTCCTTAACACTTCCACTGCAGATAAAAGATTCAATAGGTTGTTTTATGATTGAGATCCCAGGGAAGCTAGTGAGGATATTCCATGGAAGCTTAATCAAGATTTTGATTGGACCTTTGATGAGAACCTTTTTGATTGTCTCAATGGTAGCTCCTTTATTCACATTTGAGGCATAGTTCCAAACAGAATTAAAGATCTTCCACATAGACCCCACATGCTTTTTTCCATCTTCTTCCTCCAAATCGAGCACATCGGTCAAATCAATCTCGTGTGGCTGATCGAATTCTTCTTCGTTTACTTTGGGAACAATCATGAAATAGAGGAGCTGAAGAAGATGATCATATTGGTTGACATCAATGGATGTGATGCTAGGAACTATATTGAAAGGGGAAACCTCCTTAACAAAGCCTAAAAGCATCTGGGAGAGTTGTTCTTCTGCAAGTTTTGCAGAAGAGAATTGTCGGCATCGACGGAGGATCTTTCTAAGTAAGAAGAAGGGCATCTGGTTCTCAAGCATGATAATGTCTCGGGTGACCATGGTGTAAGCCATCTTCATCCTTGGAGTTTCCCACTGAGATAATTTCTGTTTGCCTTTCTGAGCTTCTACATCAACTATGAAGTTGCGAAGGAAGTCAAGCAAGAAGGAGGCATCTATCACCATCATCCAGGCAAGTGTCTCTCCACTAAAATCCAGGTACCTGAATTATTAGCTAATAATATCAGTTTAAGCACACATTAATCTAATTACCAGAGTTTCCTCATAACTTTATTCTATTAAGTCAACTTGTTCTAAGTGAGTTCAGCTCAACATACAAAAGTTGATTCATGGATCTTTGTCTGTAGTGTTAAGATCTCCAAGTAACTCAAATTCAGATTCAATGAAACTTGAGAGGATTAAACTATGAAAATTATTTGGCATAATTTTTGTTAAATTTTGATAAAGGGCTTAACTATTTATTTAAGGATTTAAAGTTTATGAGAGGGAGAAACATTTAATTATGTTAAATCTTGTTAAATCATATGAATGGATTGGTGGAAAATAATAAATCCTAGATTTCAATCAATAATAAGGCTGAAATCAGTTTTTCATTAAAATAATATAATTTAATATCTCAAAAATTTTGGTTGATAAGGCTTTAAATTAAATCTTGCTTAAATTCTTCCAAAATAAATTCTCAAACATCCCCAAGGGGCCTAAAGACCTGCTCGTTTGAGATGATTTTTTATTGATTTTTAAAGCAAATTTTTAGTTTATTTATTTATTTTTTTTTACTAAAAAGCTCCTTTAAGGAGTAAGAAATTTGTCCCATATGAAGCCTTAGAAACTATTTTGGGCCATCTCCAGCCAAACTCCAAACGACTGTAAGGCATACCTGTTTTGCTCCATTGAACGACAAAAAATAACTTATAGGTGGAGGGTGAACAGTGCAATGTCAATATTGGGGTTGCACTGTTCACATATGCGATTTTTTTTTGCCTCAACTGGATTTGCCGAAGAAACACGCGAAAGAGGAGAAAGATGGTTAACTTCGCATTAGATGAATCATGACATTTTTTAGTTTCATTGCATTTTGGAGTGAAAAATGAGATTTTCGATTGGAGATGCCCTTAGGACGACTACAACGTTCTATAAAGTTGTTATGATGAATATAACTTAGCTATTTTGATTATAAAAAATAAATTCTCAACACAACTTTCTAAGAAAAAGTAAGCGGCAACACAACAAAAACAGTTGCCAAATAAAGAAATTATGATTTTAGTCTTAAAAAATTGCATCAAAAGATCAAAAAACTAAGATCAAAAGCATACAATAAAGAAGATCTCAGATTACCAAAAAGTATTAGCAACTCACTTATGATAGTAAGAGCGAATCCTTTGGTCATGCTTCAGAAGGCAGCAAACAAGTTCCTCCAGTGAGAGAGAATTAAGGTCGCACTGTAACTTCCTTGCAGCTGCAAGCTTATAACGCTCCATATCATACAGATGAGGAACCCAGTGATGGTAAGGCCCAATCGCGAACAGCTGAGGCATGAAAGCTTCTGGCTTGTGAAAAAACAAGCCTTTGGGGACGAAGAAGATACAGACCTGTACCTTAACTTTTGCATCTTCTTCGTCAATCGTCTCGCTTAGAGCAGTTTGAACGAGAGAGAGCCATCTGTGCTCATCAATGGCGATAGGGCTTTGGTTATACGGCCCTGGGATGAAGTTGTAAGAAGCCATGGATCGATATGAAACTAGTTTATGGACACTTCAGAAGGAGATTTGAATGGGTTTTGAGGGTCTTCTGTTACAGGATATATAGGCAATTCTTGGTCTTATTTTATTATTTGATGGTGTTTTTTTTTTTCTTTTAAAGTGCAAATAATAAATGCAAATTCTCAATAAGAATCTAATCAAGAAGCTTCATCGAGTGCGAGACTTTGGGTTTTATTTGGGACAGTTTTTTTCTGTTTCTTAAAGCAGTTTTTTAGCAGAAAAAGAAAATTTTTGTACCAAAAAATTGTTTTGAGAAACAATTAGAAAGTAGTTGAGAAATCCAACAACATTTGTTTGATTAGAGAAAAGTTTATAAAATATATAATCGACTAAATTAAAGATTTGGAAGTTAATTCATAAGCAATTTTTACATCTCTCTGGCCAGGGGTGTCAATTTTGGGTAACGGGTCTGATTCGGGTTGGACCCGGAACTAACTCAGGTTCAAACGGGTTGACCCTAAACCGACTCGGTTAGGTAAACGGGTCGGAAATGCAAACCCGGACCTGACCCAGAGGGGTTGCCGGGTTGACCCGACCCGACCCGGGAAAGCTGTCACACTGGGCGAGTGCGGGTGGGGTCGCGTGCGGAGCTGGTTTGCACGGCGGCGAGTGCGCTGGTCGCGCGGGGCAAGTGCGCGCTGGTCGCACGAGGAGCCAGTAAAGTGCGGGCTGGTCGCTTGGGGCAAGTGCGCGGTGCCGTTTTTCGCGTGACAGCAGGGCGAGGTCGCGCGACAGCGGGGTGGGTAGGTCCGCGGGTTATGTTAAAACGGGTTCGTGGGTTGCCCCGACAACCCGTCGAATCAACCCGAACCCGACCTGTTTTTCAAACGGGTAGATTTCTGGAACCTGAACCCGACCAGTTTTGAAATCGGGTTGGGTCCAACCCGGATTTTTCGGGTCGGGTCCCGGTCGGATTTTCATGTCGTGTCAAATATTGAAACCCCTATCTCTGGCAATTAAAATTTAATCGCATCTTTTTTTACTAATTTTGAATTTTTCTAAACATTTTCTCTCCGGAAATGTTGATGTATGTTTCTTCTTCTTAGAAGTGTAGAGAGAAGAGAACGGCTTAACCGATCCAAAAATATAGAAATTTGAAATTAAAATTACAGAAGTGGCACTTTTAATTTCAGAATTAAAACTAAGTAACGATCAATATTAAATGCTGAATTAAAATTGAAAGTAAAAAATGATAAATTAATTTGGACCATTAATAATAATTATTTTAACACAACTAACTGAATATCTTCAACAATATTGATTTCTTTAATTTCTTTAAAATTGTTAATTCTAAATCAGTATTTAATTTAAATTCTGGCTAAGTTTTGGCTAAACCTCGACCAAAAAAGCCTGTAGATAAGCATAATGATTAATTACTTAATTAGATTAAATGGGCGTATTTATAATGTGAAAAGCATGATTAATTGCCGAATGGGTGGGCCCGTGGTTTGGCAAGGGTTTCGTTGCATAGCGTCCACATGTGCGAGCTGGCTGAATGCGATGGCAGCAGAAATATCAAAAGGTTTAAGAAAATAATTATGGAAGATTGAACAATTAGCCCAAATTGTTTGGACTCTTTTGCTTATTTGATGGAAGAGTGAAGATTTTTGCTTTCTGATTTGATTTTTCTGTATTTATAAAGTGATGTTCTCCTTGCTGGGAATAAACACCACACAACAAAAACAAACAAAAAAGAGAGAATATAGAGGGAAAAAAAAAAACATAAAAAAAATAATGTTGAAAAACATGAAATCAGAAAAAAAAAGTTGAGCTATATCACATCAAAAAAATTTATTATAAAAATTAGGAGATATTGTAGAGATCATTGGAAATTAAGTAAATTTTTCGACGCATGTTCTGACGGAAAAAAAGGCACGCAAAAATTTCGGTGAATTTTTTTCCGCCGGAATTCTACCATGAATTTCTTGTAGTAATATCTTTTTGATACTCTCCTCATTGTTTCTCTTTACTATTCACACACGTTCTACACATAATTGATAAAGAGACTCAAAATCACCTAAAGTCAATCAAGGGCAAATTATTGTGTCCGGTGTCTGGATTCGTCCGGACACCAATCCGATGTCGCCACGTCACCAAAATGCATCGGGACCCAATATATTTGGGTGACGTGGCATCACCGGATTGGATGTCCGGACATCCGGTGACCGGATGCAATAATTCGCCCAAGCAATTAGGGACTTAAACCTTCAAGTTAAAAAAAAGTACAAGAAAAAAAATTATCCAACCTAACTCGCAGCGCTGCATTGTTTGGTTTTGAAGCGCTGTGATGCTCTATTCTTTGGCTGGCAAATTTTTAAAAGGAACACATTTCAGGTAGGATTTAGGAGAAAAAATGTGATATAAATTTAATTTAAAAAAGGATAAAAACGTAAAGTGGGAGGACGTTTTATATAAATGTGTAGCAAAGTTGTTTTTTGGAAGCTCATAAAACGTGATGAGTGTTCACTTTTTCTTCTTAACACAATTTTTTTTTCAAGAGAGGTTGAGAGGGAGATACATTGAATGCATAGAGAGAGGGAGTTTATTAGTTTTAAACTTTTAATATTAAAATAAAAATATTTTTAACCTATTTTTAAAACAAATTTTCGTATTTTTAACTTATTAAAAAAATAATTTTATTTAAATTTTGAAAATAATTTTATTTAAATATTAAAAATATATTAAAAATATTTTTATTTTAAACTTATTTTTAAAATCAATTTTTAAATAAATACAACGCAATTTAAATAAATATAAAGTTATTATTATTTGTTAAATTTTTTTAATTTATATATTAACTAGTGTTATTATAACATATTTGTAAAAACAATTCAAATAAATATTGAAGAAGCGTGTAGTCGTAGACGAATAAACAATTTATATGTCCTTAAATTTTCAATGTTTATTTTAGTTAAATAAATAAAATTTTCAATAATATACGAATAAACAAGTTAAAAATAAAATCATTTTTAATGTATTTAAATAAAATTATTTCTAATATTTAAATAAAATTATTTTTAAATTTATATCACGTTCCTTCTTGTATTCCTTTTAAAAATTTCCCCGTCTTTGGCTCCAGCCTGATTGACAAACCAAGGTGTTGCATCAAGATCTGGGCAATTCAGCATGTAAAACTCTCCATCAATGCTGTGGACGGCTCATAATCACTTGATGATAGGCGGGCTATACCGGTCAAGGAACAAAAATCTTCAAAAAATATTTATTTAACTACTCTATTTAATTTATTTGGCCAATATGTTTAATATTTTGATAGCTTTAATTTTTATTTTATCTCTCTCTCTCTCTTTTTGTGTTAGCACAAGTCATCAGTTAATGTAATAATATTTTATTAATTCTTGAGACTTTCAAAATTGTAACTGCTTATAAATAAAATATTATTTTATATTTTTTGGTTCATTAAATAAAAATTATTTTTGTTTGTGCAAAATTTGTTTAGAAATATTTGATGGTTGCTTTACTCTATGATAAAGCTTGGTAGTTGATCAATTTCGCCAATACTCTTTTTTACTAACATAATTCTCTTCGCTTTTATATAGACTCGATTATAATTATCCTCAACCCAATATATCTTCGACTCTTCAAAACTCTCCTACTATTTGTCTACATTGTCCGTAAATCTTATGAGGAATCAGCTTTGTATTAATCTTTAAATATCTTCGCCAAAAGCTAATTAATATAGGTAGATATTTTTTTGTTGCAAGCAACCAAATTAAAAATATCGGAACTTCTTAATCACTTATCTAGAATCTATACCAAGATTAGTTATTTTAACACTCAAAATATTTGATTCAATAATTAAATTCTCTAGCTTTTCTATTTTTCTCTTTTTCATTCTTCTTTCATTATTTGCAATTTTCGTGGAGCCTTATAAGTCATGTAAGAAGGATTTTGGTATCACCACGAGTAGATTAAGGCTTGGTTTGGGACGGCTTTTTTATTGCTTCTTAAAATAGCTTTTTAATACAAAAATTTTAATTTCAAGTACAAAAATTTTAATTTTTGTATTAAAATGTTGTTTTAAGAAGCAATATAAAAGTCATCTCAAACAAAGCCTAAGATTTTTTTTTAAAAAAAAGTGGTATTTTTTAAAAAAATTGTGTTGTGAGGATAAGTATTTATAAAAATTTACAATCACAATTTAAATTGCTATTATAGTAATAAATCCTTAGCTTAATTAAATTTTATTATGAAAATGCACAACTTTTTATATTAAAACAATTTTATTTAGTTTATTAGCCAATAATAAATTTCAATCTTCAATACTATTATTGGGCTAAATTATTGTATAATATCAAATTTTGTCTATTAAAGAGCCATCACATCCTAATCCTTATTTGTAAAGTTTTCAATTAAATATTAAACTATATAAAAAAATTTCAATTCATATTTTTATAACAAATACATGAATTACATAATTATTTTTTGGATATAAATTATAGTTATAATAGACATATTCTCAATGATTTGTTAGTAATTTTTAAAATTATTTTATAAGGATTAGAAATTTAAATAAGAGCTCATTTGATTCCTTAAAATTAGAAAGCAATAAAGCATCATTTAAAAAATAATAAATATTCTAGATTTAGTATAGTAAATATCAACATAATTGTTTTAGTACAAATACGCTCAAAACTCCTATTAAAAAAGTAATTCATTTAGACGTTCAAAAAAATGAGATTTTGAGAATAAATTTCTCATTTTTTTGCATCCGACCGAACGTTCAAAACTCCGCAGGTAATAATTTCTCGAACTTGAGGCCAGAAGGCCCAGAACCTTCAAGTTTAAGGCACCAAATGATTTGCTCTTTTTTTGCTCATCAATGGCGGTTGCTTCTCCTTATTAGACGGTATAATGCTGCTGAATCGTCTCAATGTCCAAACCTTTGAGCTTCACCACGGACTCCATGTGTCCCTTGAGCGTGTGCAGCTCTCTCAGCCTGTAAAGGTGAAAATAATCTCTTAGCCATTTCATCAAACAATTTACGGGCGAAGTATCGATTCTACACTTACCGTGCTACTTCTGCACGGCGCTTAGCCTGCTCGGCGATTTCGGAGAGCTCGTGATAGCTGTTATTATCATGGAAAAGGTCGGAGGTCTCGACGGTCTGAAGTCCATGAAGCGTGCGTTGCGCTGCGGCCCACTGTGCCTCGCGCTCGCCTTTCCCGTAATCCTTCTTGTTCGTAAACGCAGTTTTGTTCTGTAACAAATTATCCCACGCCTTGCCGCTTAAAGTGTGGCGGGTGGTGAACTTGAGTACGTCGAGAGGAACGTAAGTGATGCAGCTGAAGATCCAAATCACGCCGGCCCATCCCCAACCGATCCCTTCTATTCTGGCGAAGCTCCAGGAGGCGTACACGGCGATCACCGTCGCAACCATCTGCGCTGCGAGGAAGGCGGTGACGAGCAGCATCCCAGGCCGTTCAACGAAGGACCAGCTCCTCGACCTTGTGACAAAGATAAGGGCTTGACTGATTATGCTTACTTGCAGGTAAAGCGCCGCGGTGAGCTCGTCGGCTTTATCTTTAATCGGATGAACCCCGAATTTCTCCTGCAAAAAGATTGAATTTTATGTAATAAGAAGTGTTTGATGAATTGCGGGTAACAAGGGTAAATAGTAATACTGACGGTGAAGAAATCGGTATCGTGGGCGAGGTAGAAGAAGATGACGGTGATGAGGGCCATGTACGCGCCGAGGATGACACCCGTAGCGAAAATCTCCTTCAGCTTCCATGAATCCGGAACAGGGGATGGCTTCACGCGATCCTTTGAGATGGTCATGATGGTTCCATCGTTGAGGATGGCGATGATGAGAACCATGAAGGGGGAAAAATCGAAGCGCCAGATTAAAGCGATGAGCATGAATCCTAGAACGATTCGAATGGTGATGGACACGGCGTAGATGGTGTAGTTCTTCATTCTCTGGAAAATGGCGCGACTTGTCAACACTGCGCTTATTATCACGCTCAACCCAGGCTCTGTTAATACTATGTCAGATGCGCCCCTCGCCGCGTCGGTGGCGTCGGCCACCGCAATACCGATGTCCGCCTTCTTCAGCGCCGGCGCGTCGTTGACGCCGTCGCCGGTCATTCCGCATATGTGTTTTCGTTCTTGAAGCCTCCGCACAATCTCGTATTTGTGCTCCGGGAAAACTCCGGCGAATCCATCGGCTTTTTCAATGAGTTCGTCGATTGGGATTCCGGTTAACTCTGTTGATTTATCGCCGAGCAGAGTTGATGAAGGGTACATGTTGGTTCCCATCCCGAGTCGCCTCCCGGTCTCCTTCCCGATCGCGAGCTGGTCACCGGTGATCATCTTGACGTTGACGCCGAGGTTGAGAGCCCGGAGAATGGTTTCAGCACTGTCATGCCGCGGCGGGTCGAAGACTGGGAGCAGACCGAGGAACTCCCATGGATCACCGGCGCTGTCCTTCGTCTTTTCAGGAATCTCCTGACGCGCCACGCCGAGGGATCTCAGACCGCGGTCAGCGAATTTGTCGATTAATGCATGTACTTTCCTACTAGCGTCCTCTTTAAGGCCACATAGCTCGATGATCTGCTCCGGCGCGCCTTTACTGGCCCGATGCCACTTCCCCTGTTCGTCGATATAGGTAATGGCGGTACGCTTCTCAACAGGGTTGAAGGGTAAGAAATGAACCTCCTTTATCCCGGCGCGTGCCTCTTTAGGGTCGGCGAGCATGCCGACGATACAGGCATCAATGGCGTCCTGATTCTCGACACGGGATGCTCGTGCGGCGTACAGCAAAACACCGTCTTTGTCAACATCCTTGGTAAAAAGTTCTATCAGACTGCGGTCAACGGTTAGCTTGTTAAGCGTCAAGGTGCCAGTTTTATCTGAACAGAGCACATCCATGCCGGCCATTTCCTCAATGGCGGTCATCCGCTTGGTAATGGCACCTTGTTGCGACAACCGGTGGGACCCGATCGCCATGGTGACTGAAAGCACGGTGGGCATGGCGATGGGGATTCCGCCGATGAGGAGAACGAGGAGATTATCAATGCCGTCGCGGTACAGCCGGTGCTGGACAGGGTACATGACGATTATCTCTACGAGCATGCCAATGGCGATGGAACAGATGCAGAAGTTGCCAATGGCAGCGAGAACCTTTTGGAAATGTCCGACGTTGTTGGTGCTGTCGACGAGGTGGGCCGCCTTGCCGAAGAAGGTGTGGACGCCGGTGGCAATTACGATGGCTTCGATCTCGCCCTGTTTGCAGGTGGAGCCGGAGAAGACTTCGTCGCCGGGGTGCTTATTGACTGGAAGAGATTCGCCGGTGAGGGCGGATTGGTCGATCTTAAGCGGGTCTCCTTCTAGAAGACGAGCATCGGCGGGGATGATATCCCCGAGCTTAATGCTGATGATGTCGCCGGGAACGAGAATGGCGGCGTCCTGCTCCGACCACCGGCCGTCGCGGAGGACTTTGGTCTTCGGGGCGAGTCCAGCCATCAGCGCGGCCGCAGCGTTACCTGTCGATGCATAATTTAATCAAAATGCGGCTCTAATTACCTGTTGATTAAACATTTCCAAATTCCGACATTACCAGCATTATTCTCCTCGATGAAGCTGATGGTGGAGTTGATGATGAGCAGAACGACGATGCCGACGAAGTCCTGCCAGTCCGGCGGCTTTCCACCGCCATTGGCTAGGATAATGGCCATCAAAGCAGCGCTCTCCATGACCCATGACAGGGGATTCCACATGAAGCCTAGGAACTTAAGCAATTTGCTCTCCTCCTTCTCCTCGAGCTTGTTAGGACCAAAGAGCTGAAGCCTTAGCTCGCCGTCGGAAGAGGTGAGACCATTGCGGGTGCATTTGAGCTGGGTGAAGACTTCCTCAATAGGTATGCTTTCAAGATCCACCGCCTCGTTCTTGATGTCCTCCAAAGACGCCATTTTTTTTTTAATTTAGAGACGGAATTGAAGAAGGTGGCGGTAAACTTCGCTTGGCTGGCCCCGTCGGTGCTTTACGCTTTACGCGGCGGGTTCAGGCCTTCATGGATGAATTGGGAGGAATTGGGGGGCGACTGAAGACGAAAGCTAAGCCCGAAGATTTATGCGGAAGTAATGGCAAATTGGCAATAGTGGCTGGAGGTGGATGGTGGAGGTCGTTATTTTCGTTTTGAGGTTGTTTATTTTCTGTGTGGCGTAGCGGAGGCTTTGGCCGATTTTGCTCGCCGCGCTGGGAAACTTTTGCCTATTGTTTTTTTTTTTTCATATATTTAAAATCATATGTAACATAATTTTAATTATTGCGTGGGCTTAAATGAAAAAAACAATGTTGCAATCTCAAATAGGTTTCGCTTGAAATAAAGTAGGGGTGTCAATTTTGGGTCACGGGTCGGGTTCAGGTCGAATTCGGAACTAAACTGAACCCAACAAAAATGGGTTGGTTTTTCGAACTCGAGTCCAACCCACATTCTGGTTCGATTCAACCTAACCAGACCCGCAGCACGGCAATGCCTGCAGCATCAGGTCGGTAGGGTGGCAGTTGCGTAACAGCTTCGTATCTTGGGATGAGATGTCACAAAGTTGTAATGGCTAGCCAGCGAGGAGGCGACGCGACAACGAGGATGCCACGCATTAGGGGGGGGCATGGCGGGCAAATCAAAGCGGACGCAACGCGTGATTGATCTCGAGCAACTGTGGTTAGCTGCGGTCACGCGAGCAACGATTAGCGGGTCATTCATGGGTTTCCGTTTCAACACGATCCTGGCCCGATTTTTAAAACAGGTCAAAAACCCTAACCCGGACTCGACCTAATTCAAGTTCGGGTCAACCCGAACCCAAAGTTTTCGTGTCGGATTTTCGGATTGTGTCAAATATTGACACTCCTAAAATAATGTGAGTATTAAGGTCATCTCTAACTGAACTTCATATCTATGTTTGACGTCGGTGAACTTTTTAAATGGAATAACAACTGGATCGCCATTCTCTGAACAGTGCAAATTGTTCACAAACGTATTTTTGACGGAAACAGAAAAAGCAGAGGGGGGAAACGCTAGCGCATGTGGTTGATAAATAACATACATGAAATATTCTTTTTAGTGTTAATAAATCTAGTTCAGTTGAAAATGAATTACTAAATTTTGAAGTATTACTGTATTTTGGAGTGAAAATGAGTTTTTCGGTTGGAGACGATCTTTTGTTACAAATCTAAAAAGACGTGCAAATTAAAAATTTTTTATCTACAATATAATGCTTTAGGTAGATATGATGTATAAGGTTCATACATAATTGGGGCATAAATAGTCGAGTCAAGTTAAGTATTTGACTAATCGAGCTAAGCTTGTTTAATTTTTTTCGAGTTCAAACTCGATTGAGCTTATTTATTGAACTCGAAATTAGCTCAAAAAAAAAAAAAAATTTAGGCCCGAGCTTGTTTTTAAATTAAAAATTTTAAGAAATAATTTACAAAAGTTAAAATATATTATGTAATACTAATTTAAAATTAAAATGTGAACATATTTTAAGTAAATGAATTGCTTGATAAGCTTACGAAGAGCCAGGTTGAACTTGAGCTTGAGCCTGTATAATATATAAGCTCGAGTATAAGCTCAAAGCCCAAATTTGTCGCTCAGTAAATTCGACTCATAAGCTCGCTAAAAAGTCAAATTTGAGCCGGCTTGACTCACTCATACTGTTACACCCCTAAAAAGAAGAAGAAGAAGAAGATAGTTCACCATACTTTTATGTGTTCAATTAAAAATAAGATTTTATCTAATAATCCGGCCTTCTATTTTCATAATCAGCATTTGCTTAAACATATATAATTTGTTGGCTAAAATATGAAAATTCGCGCCGGTTATCATGCACTATAAGTCCTGCGTGCTTCAAGATGGTGCATGACCCCATTAAATATAAGGTTTTATAATATATAATATTCCTTATTCAATATAAAGTATTTATTTGGATATACAAAAGTTTAATGAGATGTGAAGCTCATTTTTAGGCTATGTTTGGGACGGCTTTCTTACTGCTTCTAAAAGCAGCTTGTTAGTGAAAAACTAAAATTTTTGCACTAGAAAGCTGCTTTTAGAAGTAGTAAGAAAGTCGTCCCAAACGAAACCTTAATCTCTTACCAAAATATAAGTTGTTTAATCAAGAATATTTCTATCAAATGATAGGGTTTCCTATCTAGTGAGAACAAGTCTAAAGTTCATGATTAATGATGCAATGTACCTTGATGAGTATCAAAGAATTGAAGGATTGATGAAAGGCATTAGTAGATTAGTGGACTAATGAGTCTCCTATTGCATGCCTATCGAATAAGCACCAAACAAATCAAATCAAGATGCTACTCATGCATCAACCAAATGAGTCCTTATACTACAAGAAATTACTACATTTGAATGCCATAAGTAGTGTCACGACCCGGCTCGGTGAGCTCGCGTAGGCGAGGCAGGAACGGATGGTCGGACGGTAGGTCAAATATCTAATTCCTAAAACTATCACCATAACATTTGAAAAGTAGAGCTACATGCAAACATTACGAGTACATAATGATGTACTCCTCGCCTAAAAAATGGGAGAACACGACTAATATAAAATTATATGCTTTAACACATTTGCATGTAGCTCATACACATATGACTCTTCTATAATGCACATGTATTATGATTTCGATATTGCCTTATGCATGGGTATTCTTCAAAGGTTTAAATTTCATTTGGACAGCTTTTTATTGCTTTGCTTTTTAGATCATAGCTATAATTTTTTGTTTGGTTACTATTTTTTCACTTCTCTAAAAATATTTTTATATGCATGGTGAAGCGCGCTACTTCCTATAATAGTTTTAAGAAGTTATTTTATCTATAATAATTTTATAAAATAGTAAGAAAGTCATTCCAAATAAAATCTAAAAGAATAATTAAATGATGGAATTTAAAGGGTTTGCCGAAATGGATAAAAAATAAGGGGTAGAAGAGAGAGAGAGAGAGAGAGAGAGAGAGAGAGAGAGAGAGAGTTCGTATTTTGATCTATGTAAATATTTTTTTTCTAGAGTCATTAAAAAAGTTCAAATTATAAGTTGCCTTAGTTCAGAGCATTGAGATTATAGTATTTTAATTACATGATTTTTTTCAACATTTTAGGCACTTATTAAAATATTTAAAAAATTGACACTTGTTGGTATAAGTGAGGATTTTGGGACCGATATGTGTTCATTTTGTAAATAGATTTCACAATTATCTTTGATATAAAAATATTTTTTATAAATATTAAAATCCAAAATAATTTATATGAATTTTATATTGAGAATTTAATTAAATTAAATATTTATATTATATTATATTAAACTACCTTATGCATTACTTAAGAATCCGTTTTCCCATTTCACATTGGGCAAGAGAGAGCTCTTTTGGAAATTAAAAAAAAAGCTGAGGAGAGAGAAAAAAGAAGTTCATATTTGGAGGTTGTGGAGTGATTTTTCTAGCGAGCTAGTTGAGAGATTTATGCGTCTCACTGTAAGGAATCATTACCCTATTTTTAATTTCAAAGATTTTATGTTTTTAGTATTTTGTTGATCTAATTTGTATTTCATTTATAAAAAAATGAGGATAATTTATATTAGTAAAATTTCACCGTGTAACTTTTTATATCTTATAGATATTAAGATTATAAATATTTTGAGTATTTATTTAATATTTTTTGCCATGTGATTTTGATAATACAATAATTTGTATCTACTTAGAAATTTATTTGAATGTCTAAAAATAATGATTAGTTCAACTAAAGCCTTTTAATGTTATTTTATGCAATATCTAGTAATTTAGCTAAATTTTAAAAATGTGAATTTTTGTTCAATACAATTTTTGTTGTCTATAATTAGAATATTTTGACACTTTATAAAATAAGCTAAATTATAATTTATTTACTGCAATGTAACGAAAATAAATGTGTATATGCGATTGAGATTATTGTTATAGTACTGTGATAACATTGTATGTGTAAAAGATAAGTAAAGATGGGTTGACCCGTTGATTAGAGATTAATTGGCCCGTACATGATGATGGGCTGACGCACTTTCCTTTAAATACTATGATTTAATATTATTCGTTGCTGATTGACATGATATTTAATTGGGAGTTATAAAAAGATGATTACTATGTCGATAGACAAAGAATCATGACTAAATTTACAGAGCAAATGATTTATTGATACTGATACAAAACTAAAAAAACATTTTGATAGTCAAAATACTTACTTGATTAGTGTAACTATTGAAATGAATATTATTGAGATATTATTCATATTGGTGTTATGATTTATTGATACAAAAAGTATGATTTATACATTGAGCACGTGATATATATGATATTTTGAGTATATGGTTTAGATATTGATTTAATACTAATATTGAATAATTGAATTGCATGTGTACACTCATATATGATTTTACTGCCTTGATATTATTTTGAAAGTCCTCGTCGATAATTTGGCTTTACTACTTTATAAGATCTCTCTATTGATTGATAGTAGTGATACAAAGATTATATATTTAAATATTTAATACTCGTATTGATTTATTGACTTTCTTATTATACTATTTTATTGTTCATAAATTTTATTACTATTGCATATGAGTTTTACTGTTTTAGCACTGATTCAATGATCATATGAATGCTACTGATATAATTTAATCCATGACATGCATAGTGCTCTTTTATCATGCTCTAAATTTAGTTGTAGATTTTGGCGATCTATTGGCTTTTTAGCTCATTATATGTGATTGAATGATTTTATGTCAGGGCAAAAGATCATGAGAGTGAGGCTGGTTATGATTCTTTTAGGTTCATGTTCTTTTTATTTTAGCTATTCTTTTATACTCATGACATAATAGATGTGTGATGATTATATAAATCCTGAGTATAGTATATGATTATGGGATTGAATACAGAATTTATTTCTATTGTTTATTATTGATGCATGATATTAAATAGCTCTGATTATTATTTATTAAAAGATAAAAGAATATTTTTTTCAAATTAGATTATGGGACATCAGAGAGAGAGAGAGAGAAATCTCTCTACTATTGTTCTTCCTCCCTATCCTTGTGCAGGGAACCCCAAACCCACATGTTTGTTAAATTAAAGGCTATCTTTTGCTTATTCAAATCTTCAACTCTCGTCTTTATACTAAGGATTTTGTCTTCTTATTTTGCAATCTCCACAAAGTACTTCACCTTCATATTTCTACGATTTTCAACAATAAAAATCATGGGAGTCAAAAAATTTGAAGGTGAGAATCAAACAAATGGAGCCGATTAGATCATTCATGATTGAGGTTGCCAAAAAATAAACAAAGAAGATGAGAGGAAAAACTCACTTTGGCATAGTAGGTGTGCTTCGAGTACT